AGGCTATAAAAAATCGCGCTAAGATCTGCAGGAGCCGAGCAGCTGGTGAAAACGTGTGAGAATAGCCAGTGCTTCATAATTTAACTGATGTATGACGGTGTGTGTGTGTGTATATATGTGTGGGTCAAAACCTGGCAAGTAAAAATGTGTATTTTTCCGAGTTATACGAATATAGGTAATTTCTAAGTTAATTAATTTAAACTCTTTTTATTATAACATTCGTGAGGCATTCCGCGACACACGATGCGGCGACTGTCGCGCTGCTACTGTCATGAATATGGGCCTATAGCATGGCTTGAAACTAGTCGAGTATCTCGTAAATTATTACGTGACTTTTCACAAAAAAATTTTTGAAATAATTAATTTCACTTAGCCGAAAACATAATAACTAATTTAAAGTCCTCTTACGTACAGCAGAAGAAAAGATCGTAATCGTATCGACTTATAATAGTCATAAAATTTATAATTTAGAAATTATAAGTTTGAAATCGCCAATCCTTGAGCAAGCGCGGTAATTATGCTCACACCTTCTCCGTCTGCGAAGAGGCCTTTACTCAGCAGTGGGCAAAAGGGCTGATGATGACGACGTCTCTATAAAAAAAAACTCATTGAAAATGAAAACCTCTCAACTCTAAACAATAATTTCTCAACACATAATTCTCCCAATAAATACACGAATACTTAAAACAATCGATAAAACAACAAAACACAATAATCTTTACACAAACACGCTTCGTTAGTTTTATACAGTTTCCGAGATAGCGCCGAACAAAATGTGCTGATAACTTATCTGTGAATTATGGACGTTAAACCTTCATGTATGTGTGTAGGGTAATCTTTATGGGGTTCGAATTATGTTGTTGTTGTATGGTGTTCTATTTTATTTATTTATTTATTGATTATAAACTAAGCTATCCATACAGTTACCCAATGTGATAGCTTTACACACAAGCTTTCGCATTTGTAATAGGCTTTTCTAGGTTAACTCGCTTAAGTCAATATTATTTTCAATAAATATTACGTTAAAGTACAAAAACCTTCATTAAAATCAACAAACAATTAGGTACTTGCTTAGAAGTTGGTTTGAAAACCCGTTTCAATCCCAACAACAATAATAATTAAAGTTATAGAAATACCTACAGTTCTACCTACCCCATAACAAATACTAAGGCGTGAGTAGTTTCCAATCGAACAGTTTTTACCTTTCACGGTCGTGCAAGACTCGTGAGCCATTCTACTGCTTACTACTGACTAGTGCTGACTATAACTGACTTCTGGTTTATGAAGGCGATACACTCAATCGTGCCGCTAATGGACCGATAGAGGAAACCGTGGAGACTATTGTAAAAGAAAATACTTAGCTCGGAATAACAGTGGCGATTAATTTTAAAAATATAAGTGGATGCTCTCTACTTCTTTGAAGAAAAACTTTGTCCAATATTATTATTTTTTTAATATAAGTAGGAACGTTTGCAAAACAAATTCCCAATCTACAAATCCCTTTCCGTCCAATTTGTTACTGGGCGACGCAGATTGGATACCATCCGTTCGCTAGTTTGCCGCCCTTGTAACCCTTTCCTATTCTAATGAAACAGGAGGACTCTCTTTAATTCACCTCTTCCTTACAAGTTTTGTTTTTGGTCGAATTATTAGAAATCATTCAATTGCATTTTCTGATATATACAGTACAACTATACTGCTAGGTAGCAACATCACAAACTACCACTTAACTTTAAAACAAAAAGCGTAATGCAGATAGAAATCCATCTAGCCGCAATAATAACAAAATCTCCAATAAAAACAAACAATAATAAAAGCTCCATTAGCGATGTAAATACATCTAAGGACGTCTCCATGTATTTTTATATTCTCTCCCGTTACACGTGAAAAGTGGCCTTGTGCGTACGTACGACTAGAGTGTATCTATACAATTTTGTTTAAAAATATATTTTTGAAATGGATCTGGGTTTGGTATTTTGGATATTAGGTAGTTAAGTTACTGGATAAATGTCGAAAAGAACAAGTTGTATATCTAATGGAAGATAGTTTCCCCATTTCTTATGGTTTTTATTTTATGTTAAGCTCGCGACCCGCCTAGATTTCGCACGGTGCAATGCTGATACTAAATTTCTCCACTATTTCACGGATATTATTATAGGTACATACATAAAAACCTTCCTTTCTATCTATTAAGGGTCAAAAGAAATTATTTGACGCTCTTCCAACCTTAAAAAACAAAATATCACAGAGATAATACATCTCTGTGGTAATTGTTATCAAAGAAAATATTTTTTAAGTCCGCCGAAACGTAAGCGATGCTCACAGAAGCTAGAATCCAATACTTACATTAACTAAAGCAGTCACGTACCTACTCTTTGTACCTACTAGTCATATTAAAAAAATGGCTACAATGATGGAACAAAAACCGCCGCCCCTCCGCAATCGGAAATATTTTTCCGTTCAATTGATTATGCAACATTTTTCTAGCAATTTAGATTCCTATATCGTCATTGTGAGGCGCTCGTGTGTACCTAATACGCAGATCGAGGGCAAAATTCTTTTCTTATACAGATTCGCAATTGAGAAAAGTGAATTCGATCATTTGTTGAAGAATGAAGTGATTGTTAAGACGAATTTTGACTAGATTATTCTTTATTACTTTACATTTTTCTCATGGTGTATTCTGTAGGTCAAACAGTATACAGGTATAGAGATCTTTTAAAATGATTTTTACACAGATTTTTTATGACAAATTTATATTTAAACTAAAAATCGCGGGTTACTCACGTGTCTTTCTTGAGAAAAGCTCTACTAGTTTCGAACCATAGACGGGGTTCTTCCTCATGAACAGCGTGCGCGGACGCGGCGACGTCGCCAGTAGGCTGCGCGCATTTTTAGTTAATTTAGTATGTCTCAAGATAGTTATTATAAAATTTATATCTTTATGAAAAAAAACAATAATTAACCAGACAACATCCACTTATAAAATCATAAACCACTAATTACATTCCCAACAATACGGAAACTTAAGAACAACAAAATGATTAATCCTGGCCACACAAAAAGGGAAGCAATTCTATCTCCATAACTCAATATGTCGTCACCTCCGTTTATAACTAGCATAACAAGTAAAAATATAAAAAGCTTTCAGTTGTCTAACAATTTACGACCACAACAAATGTAGCTCATTCACAAATTGAGTTTAAAAATATTACTTAAAACATGTCTGAGCAAATGGATACTATTTTTGGGTACATACATTATAATTATTTTTATATTCTATTGGTGTAAGTTCGACGTGATGTGTTTGTATTCAGATAAAGAGTTTATGATTTTGATATCAGAGAAGTTACTAGTGTGTAATGTTAATGTACAGTTTTTTTTTTGTAGTATTCGCCTTGGATATATTCAAAAGCAGCTTTATTATTAAATGTTTTTCTCTGTGTTTCAAATTCTTACTTACTAAAACCCATCCCGTTCCTTCTCGTTAGGAGCAATGGTACATTTTTGAACTTGCACCGACGACCCCGTAAAGATCGGCCCTATTAGGTGCTCGTCTAACAGCTGCTAGGGCAGGCGCGCAACGCTACGCGCCTGGTACGCTCGGGTTTGGTAGTAATCAGCTGGCGACCTACCCTTGCGTGCCGACGGCAGACCCGCGCTTAGTTCTACGGCGGCTGAGGCTTGCGAAGAAAAGTTTCGTCACGCGCTTCGCCTTTTTATACGAAAGCTAGGTCAGGCTTTATTTGCCCAATTCTTAAATACCTAACACCTAATAATGCGGGAACAGACTACCGGGTATCGGATATTGGGCGGCGGAGATTGCTTATCATCAGGAGACGAGACTGCTTATTTGCTGCCGTCTATCAAAAAAGAATAGGTGTCGATGTACTACTAACATTTACACCATCAGCAGTATGTCCGGCAACCCAGATTCAGTAAATACAAAAAAAAACTTTTTATAAACCCCACTTGCAAGATCTCATACTTAAAACGTCATAAAACAAGTATTGTGACACACAGCATAGAGAAATAGAAATCCCCAAATAAAACAATAATACTATAATTACACAAATATTTATTTCCACGTAGACATGAGTTACACGAAAGTTACGCTAACAAAAGGAATCACAGATAAAGTACATAGGACTAAACAAAGTGTCGCTAACTTAACATAAAAAACATATATTACATTTGCAAGTGATAATTATTAAATTTAAAACACATATAAAATCACAGTCCCACACCCGTTTGCATTTGGATACGGAACTCGTGGACGTTGGGACCCGTATAGACACAGAAAAATATAAGATTAAATACACTTAATTCTATGGGAAACGCTAACACTTATATGCTCACAATGTAAGGGTGCTACGGTGTTACATCAAACAGAGACTACTCTCAAGAACGGGCCGAAATGTGACGTCACATCGACAAAATATGCCAGTACACGAATTCCTTACATCGGTCCATATTAAGAAGATTATAACCATACAATCACATGCAAACGGGCTGTCAGTAAAAGAAATTTATCACAAAAATAAAAACGGAAAGTAATAGAAAAAACTTTGAGACGTTGAACTGACATAAGCGTTTGATAGCATTGACATCAACTTTTCCATCGTATTCTGTTACAAATATCTTTTTTTTTTTATTTATTTTCGAGGAATAAATTCCGTCCGTTTCTCTATCACAGCATTCGAAATCCTCTTAAATACTCGAGTCGTTAAAATACCTTGTTTTCATACATTCAGTAAAAGAGTCCCTCAAGGCACTCTATTAGCACACAATTTTCAAACTCGTTCCTTTGAAGAAAGACTAACATACATAACAGGGAATAATTTGTTGAAGTTCTAAAGCGTGGCCGCACATTGAAATTGCTACAACCAAGATTAAAATCTAAATTTTAAAAAACTTGGCACGTAAATATAGCTACACGATTTTGCGTCGGCAGTCAAACTAAGATAAAGTTAAAAAGATGCAAAATAAACAAAATATACAATACAATTACTGAAACTATTTGTTAATACACAAATAAAATCAGTAAGAGAGCTCAGTCGTTTATGAACTACATTCATAATTATATTAAAGCATTAAGACACTGGACCGACGCCAGGCATTGACTAGCACAAACATTAAATAAAAAAAACAGAACACAACATTTTTGGCTAATTAAGTAACGTCACTAACCGTAGCGAATTTTAAACTAAAGAAGAAAGATAATATTTAAATTAGAATGAAGATAAAAGCACTCAAAGGCGTCCACGTTTTAAAAAATCAGCTTACAAAATCCAATGCGTAATTAGTTTAGTTGAATTACATAGTTTTTCCGTCTAGTTCTAAACTACAACCATAGAAAAATAGATAAATAGACTCACATCAAAAAGTGTACAACATTATCAACTCTAACCATCTAAACGCGTTTACTTAAACATTAGAGAAAAATGTCTGTACTGTTTTAGTAAAAGCTGAAACTACAAATTTGATAATAATGATTATTAAAATATATGGGTGGTTGCCTCGAAGGGCGGTGCAAACTATGATAGATTAAATATATTATTAATGGTGTTGCTAATCAATTGAGTTTCTACTAATACTCTAAAATACTGCGAATAAAATTACGTAGAGTATTTGACTAGTATTTTATGATGAATTTAAATTTAGCCTTAATTATAATGAAGCGAAAGACAAAATTGAGCTCATATCAAAGATTGTGCGCATACGAAAAATAAATGGAATTAAACCATGAATTTGGGAATGTCTTACGAATCACAACAGAGAAAACAAAGCAAAGAATCGGCACACATAGAGAACAAAATGGACATCTTAATAATAATTAAGTCATCGATGAAAAAGTGCGTAATGATACCAATGTAGCAAATGCCAACTGCTTTACTGCAGAATTTGTTGAAGTTACTAATGAAGGAAATCAAGTACCTCAAGGTACTGACCATACGACGCGACGTTAGCAAGAATTGGCACAGACATGAATGGCACAATAGGGAGCAAACATACCCTGACGGATGATAAGCATACGACGACTCGTGAACTAAGTACACAATTAAAATCAAACTTCAAAAAGTTCAATATAGGCAACAAAATAAAACTAAAAAAATATAATCGATACAAAGTATCTGCGGCAGTAGATATAGGCAAATACGTTTCGCAAGAAAATGTGTCAACAGGCGTACCTAGAATTATTCTAAGCAAATATTGCATTGAATTGCAAAGTCCGAATAAACTAGTTCATTTATATTGATGTCTGAATAAAGTACCGTTACATCGATATATTAGGATTAATTTCAAATTGACCATCGAAAATGTTTATATCTAAGAATTTATGACTCAAAAACAACTAAGAAGAACACGACAATGACATATTTTTTATAATCGCTTTACTTTTACAACACGTAATTGTAGCACGAATAATATTACCAAAGATCAAATCGAATAAATTCTACTTAAACACCAATTACATTGTGCTTCTAAAAATGCGAATGATCATCCCTATACGATTGCAATCAGCCATCAATTTAAAATCAGCCACCAATCAAATACATAGCGAAGCCACGATTGTCGTTTAAACCAAGCTCAAATTCCAAATCATACCTCCATTGATTAGCAAAACCTTTTACATCACCCTTGTATGAATGATCATTAAGAGGGAAACATCAAATTGGAATACTTTAATACTTAGGTTAGGCCTTCGTATAATCAGGATAATATTTGGGATGAATAATTTAAAATTGGGATGATTGTCGAACTAGTTGGCCAGTGTTGGCTTAACTGCGTCGACGCTCACACGTTTGCTGAATGCACCGTTACAAATATGATCAACATTTTCATTTTCATTCTTGGATTTTCAGTCTACTTTTCCTTGTTCTTACCTTTCTTTGTGCGTCCCTGCTTGATCACTTGTACCAGTTTTATCTTTTGTGCGCACGGGCTCTTCATGTAGTCATGGAGCATCTGTTGAAGATATGATATCGTATGAGTTCATGTTATGTATTATTATTACTGTTTTATTATTTTTTTATGTTTCCTTAATATCTTCATTTGTAATTGCTATCACTTGTTCTACATTCGTTTACTACATGTTGCAATTTACACTAAGGAATTGCATTTCACTTGCAATAACATTAATGTCTTAACATAAAACATTAATAAGTTCACAGGTGTCGATTATTTCAAAGAATTTCTCTTTTATTATTTTTTATATCGTTAAAGGCGGCAAACGAATAGACGGACTATCGTAAGTAGTCTGATCGGCGCCGCCTATGGACACCAGTAATACCATAGGAATTATAGGTGCTTTATCTACTATTGAGAGGTTATCACGTGTAAGGGATTTGAGGAAGGGAAGAGTCTCCAGAAACTTCTCTGACGGCCGATACACAAGACAAGCCAGACACAAGTTTTGTGTCTCGTTGTATTTACGGTATTGGAGATGTGGTGGAAGTAATGGATCAGGCCTTCGCCTCACTCCATACGACAAGCAATCTTTTGTTTTACTACGGTCGATACATACGGTGCGAAGCATGACTCTTTCGCGCCAAAATTAATTATTATTGTGTTAATATCGTAACTCTGATTATCTTACTTGATAAAAATGTAACTAAGTAAGACGACTAGGCATTTTGAAAAACTATATTACATATTTTTAAAGTTTTTTTTTTATAAATGATTGTACATAAAAAGGAGTTACGAGTGCGTTGCCGAACTTTTTGGGGATTAGGGGTTTGGGGATTCAGGGATTGGGGAAGGGAAAAGATTGGGCTTTATATAATGTTTATAGCACGATTGCCAAAAATTCGATCTACCATCTCAATGAATTCCTTAATAAGCACACCACCACATACATAGTCTGTTGTCATAATTAGCCACAAAATTAACCATGTTTATCAACCTTGGTGAAATTATAATATCAGCGTGACATTCAATAATTACAAAAGTAACGGTCGTCATCCGAGTTATTAATATAAAGCGGCGTATTACGGAAGACTCGTAAACCCTGTTGACACCTGTTTTTGGATACTATCACTGGCTGGGTAGGTAAGTGAAGAAGTTCCATTTGTTGTTCCATTGGTGGTTATTGTTGAAGAAGTAGAGGTAATGCTGTTTTTCCGGTGCCCCGCTCCAAAATGTCTCGTGGTGCATTTAAAAACATACAATTACACATACTCATTCCATTCAGACCCGAAACAACTATTTGTTGATAACAATAAGAGTTGTTATGTACGGGAATAGAGCCCGCGACAGCCATCGCGTTAACCGTGCAAACAAATATGGAGATATTCAATCGGTTCTTCCTTGATGCATCGTCTTTTGAAAATATTGTCTTTTCAAATACATCGTTTTCTGTCTAGTCTGTATCTCAAAAGAGCCAACATATTCAAAGTCAAAAGTCAAAAGTCAAAAATCATTTATTTCAATTAGACCACAGTAGGCACTTTTGAACGTCAAGCAAGCAAAAAAGGAAAAAAGTATATAACATGAGCTTTAAAATTAAGCATGTCAGTCTGTCCGTCTGTCCTCTAGTGAAGCTATTTGCTCGTTCCAAAGTGTAGATTCCTATGGAGAAGAACGAGCAAGAAACTCCATGGTTACTCTTTTTCAATCAGTTTTACAATACATTTCTTTGTTACATCATTTAGTTGGTTCTGATATGTGAGAACAATGTAACACTAATGTTCAAGCAAAAGGTACGAAAAAGAAGTGAACCTCAAGGACAACATATTTAGACAGCCTGGAGATGACCAGTCCCAATAGGCGGCGCCCGTTCACGAACATGACACGTACACCAGCACCGCCCAACTCAACCATATTATAGGGAATTGGGCGATCCAGTGCCCGTGCCACCGCCAATGAGACCTCTAAGTGAGCATGACAGCTCCCAGCCGACACAAGTACCTATATTCTACAAGTCTTACTTAATTATAATAGGTTACAGGGTACTCACATTTACAAAAACTTAGAAGTTCATCAACAATTAACAACATAGTGTACAATTTAATAATTAAAATCAAAAATTCCTCTAAACATCCTGTGGAGTAGGACCAGCTAGCCTCCAAGCATTTTTATCTTGTATATAATCATTTAGTTTGTAGTATGCTAGTTTACATAAATGTTTCTTTATACATAATTTAAATTTGCTTTCATTTAAATTTTGAATTTCAACTGGGATTTTATGATAACATTTAACACAGAAACCCAGGAATGACTTATGCACTTTTGCCAATCTAAATAAAGGCTGACTCAATCTATTCCTATGTCTAGTATGATAATCATGTTTGTCAGATACCTTTACAAATAAGTGTAGGTTTTTCCTAACATACATAATGTTTTCATAAATAAATTGACTCGGTACGGTCAGAATGTTGATCTCCTTAAACTTTTCTCTGAGAGATTCGCGACGACCTAAGTTATATATAGCTCTGACGGCACGCTTTTATTCCACTCTATGATCCTTCTGCAGTCTATGCTACACTGCAACTTATACACTTGTCACCATAGAACTGCAGCTGCGTCGGCACGCCGCCACAGTGTAGTGTAATCGCATCAAATATTCACTAGCACAAATTGGTTCACTTCTGTTTTAACATTACTACCAGTAAATACATTGTCGAGTTTGTTAACATTGTGTCTAGTGAATAGTAGTTGTATCACGACCCTTATATTTTTATGTGACAGTTTGGCAAACTAGCAGACGGATTACCTGATGGTAGGCAATCGGCGCTGCTCAGGTACAACAAAATTAATTTAAGGTTGGGCACCGGCACGGAACAACTCTTAGTGTAATCTAGAAAATGTTTCACTGGGTCTGGGCGTAATGTGTGTTCGTGAAATTGTATATTTATAAACTTACCCAGGACACTAGAAAAAATCCTAAAGTGAGGCAAAATTAAAAAAAATATCTTTACTTGCCATCACTGTAGCGCGTTCATACATTTGAGGCTATACTTAGGAGCACATGCGAGAAAACAAATTGTTTTTTCTCGATCACGTGGACTAGCCGTGTTTCGAAAGCTTAGCTTTGGTGTCTGTTAAAAAATGTGTGACTAATAACGAAGATACACTATTTAAACAAAATAATTTTAGCGAGGGAATCGACGTGTTGGAAATAGCACTTTTAACCAATTTACGAATAAAAAACAGCCGTATTAATTAAGCAATTAAGTGGAAATATGTTTAAAATAAATTTAAAGAAATTTTTGATTGAAAATGTTTTTTATTTATTTTTTTTATTTTTTTTATTTATATATACTTTATTGCACACATACACCAAGTAGCAATACATTGGATACAATGACCGAATGTTGTGGTTACAATGGGCGGTCTTATCACACAAGGTGATTTCTTCCAGACAACCTTTTATAACTTGAATGAGTATTTTGCTAAAAAGTCGAATTCAGAAATGTCATGTATTTTTTTATTCCAATATAATATTGCATGTCCGACTTGGATAGACTGTTGAGTCAAAACATTGTATTTTAATATCATTATGTACACAGTTTATGCAATAAATTAATCTTATCTTATCTTATCATATACCACTAACTCTGTAAAAGAAAAGTATAAACTAAAATCCACTTACTTTCGTGCTGAGCTCTGAGGATATAGCGCTGGCTGCGGCCGGCAGATCAGAGAGCGCCACCAGCGTGGGCAGCAGGCAGTCGCTGTGAGGCTTGGACACCAGCCAGTTCGCTGGCAGCGTGCACAGCGTCTTGATCACACTCCATCCGTCGCATATTGTTTCCTAGGTGACAATTTGTGGATGAAAATATGAGAAATGTTGCGCTAATCGAAGCTGTGTATATTAGGAACGTGTTAGATAAAACTTTACAAAGTACATAATACTCGATTACGCCTTTATTATATTTTTAGTTTTGATCGCGTAAAATCTTCAAATTCCTTTTCCCGCGAGTCACTTTTTACTGACTCAAAAGTACTAAAAACCATCGCTTAAGATTAAGCTTAAGCTTTTTAATTTACGCTAAAGTTTATATATGTATGAACAAATTCAAAAAATCAGACTGAAACTACTGAACTAACATAATAAAATTCAAAACATTACACCTCTGCTTGTTTAAGTTGAGACGAGGAATTTAACAAATGAAAGAAAGAAAGAAAGAAAGAAAAAGTATCTATTCGCGTCTGGGACGCATAAAAGACACAAAACGAACAAGATAATAAAATAAAGTTAAAATAAAAATACATTGAGCAAGGTAAAAACAATATCACAAAAGTAGACGGTAGGAGAAAAATATGCGTCCAAGCACGCGAAATGGCCCACGCTCAGCATAATGCAGCGACCCCGTACGAGACGGCGTACGGGGTCGCTGCATTATGCTGAGCGTACGACGAAATGCGTGACAGATATACATATATATTTACATTCAACAAGTAAATACATAAAAAACAACTGCTCTAAGGAACACAGCTAACCTTAAAAACTTCCGTAAAATGTTGACCACTAAAACACATACCTAAGTACTAACTAAAACGATTACTAACTTCCGAAATACAAAAAGTCGTTAAGCGTATAATGTAAAACATCAACAACAGACTATGAAAGCATCACGAGTATAAATTGTGGAGTAATGGACGGAGGGCACTCGTAGGACAAATGGGCACCGAACACCAAGATAACACCTGGGTCCTACCTCATTTATAATTTACTAACGCCATGTTAGAGAATGTCAGAGTAATTCCTGCAGTAGTATAAGGAATTTGTGTTTCCTTTCCTTATTGACACGTAAACAGGAAAAAGCTATTCGTTTTTTTATGTCGTATTTAAGATATTTTAGCGCAATGTAATATTCAATCTCAACAATGACCACTGCTATTCCACGTTTGCAAAATCGCTGACCATTTAAATTTTAGAGGAATTTCAGCTAAACATATATAGAAAGCCTACAAGAAATTCACTTCTATGACTAACAACAACAAACCATCATAACAAAACACTTGACTTGAACACCTTAAAACCAATTATGAACAAAATAAAAAAGTGAACGCATAAATTTGCGTAATGGCCCCAGGACACTTCCTTGAACAACTCCGGCCGATGTCACTCGGACACCTGTGTCCGTGAGAACTTGGGCAAAGTAAAACTGCTGTAATGAGTCCGTGGAATAATTTACAAGGCTCTAAGTGCGGTATAATGTGTTCACAAAGAAAGTTTCCGATGATCACCGGTAACTAATCGTGCCGAAAGCTTCTGTTGGATATAAAAAACTCATATACACAAGTCAATCTAAGTAAACATAGATTTTTACGCCACACGAATTGAGGTAAGTTTACTTTCCATAATTCCTTACAAACTAGGCAAAAATTCACCAAAACGGACATTCAAACAACAATATTAACACTTTCTAACCAATTGTACTTACTAAACTAATAAGGAAGAAGTTAACCATCTAATGGCGGCTTGTAAAATAAAGATATTCTATAGATATTAGAAGCAAGTTAGAAAAGTTCCCACAAACCGATATCTTAATAGATATACACAAGACAATAGAACTAGTTAACTCGATCGATTACGTTGACCATGTAAACGTTGGTAAAGCGGTAACCGATGGGGTGTGACACGTGTTAGCCGCAGGTGTAGCCCGCATGAGAACTTACTAATAAAACGGCCGAGGAAATTATGCGAGACGTTAGTTATTCGAGGTCAAACGTATTAGTTATTGTGATGATTCCCCGTCGGCATAATAGATCAAACTAGAAACTTACATTTGTAACAAAACCACGCTTGTAGCTTAATGAAGACACTCAAAATTGTGTACTATTTTTTGGACATGTTAGAATTTTTAAATTGACAAACTCTTTGCATAAGCTTTTTGTCGGGAATTAGATGATTTCAGAATGATGAGGTCCACGATGGTATATTTAAACGTGAGCAAGAACTAAGAAAATCTCAGTTATTTCATGCGTTGAGCTTAAAATCGCCACAATTATTTACATTTTTACCTTACATCTGTAGGCAGTTTAAGACCTATACCTACGAGAGCAACTTTTTTATTTTTATTGTATGTATTACATGTTCACAGAATATCAGGGACGGCACTAACGATTGCGAATAAATGAAACTATTACTGTCAAGCTATGCGATGCCGAGCCGATGACCGCATCGAAGCACTAAAATTAATAAAGTATAGAGTATTAGATCTTACCTGTAATTGTGGATTGTTGACGACAACGAATCCGACTAGAACGATCAAGTCCAACACCATCGTTTCGGAGAGAGTCTGGTCAAGGCGCTGGTTATTCGTACCTGAACGGAGACAATGATAATTAGGTATTTTTACAAGTAACACAAGTCAAGATTGATAAAACAACTCAAACTTGTCCTTGATTTTGGGTTGGACTAAACTCTAACAGCCTTATTGCAAAACAAGGCTCTTTTTAGTTTAGTTCTAAATAATTTAGCCAGTTTTTGTATTTCAAATTGAAGGTAGGAAAGAATAAGATTCCGAATACAAAATCTGATTCAATGCGCAAAACCTAAGGAGGAATTAGTTGTTTTACTTACGCAAAGCCGTAGTTCTTGGCGCTTCTTTATCGGTGGGTGCATGCTGTGATAGAAGTCTAGCAACAGCCGCTCTGAACTCCAGAGGCCAACCGCCTTCGCCGAAGGCTTCCTGTGAACAAAGGAAAATGAAAAATATCATATCGAAAACGTTATTCTGTATTCTGTTTTAGCCATTATTTTATTAAACGCAGATAAAGGAATTATTTTAATGGTCAGGTCAGACACTTAATCTTTCAAAGCGTTCAAACGTTGATCTAACACTAGTTGTCTAAGAACAGATCAAGGCCATCTAGTTGCCCTCTCTGCATCCCCAAAGAAACAAAATAGATCCAAGAGTCCAGTTGAACATAAAACAAGAGCCACGGACCGTGACGAACTTCCAAGTTAAATGAGGGATGACCGTCAGGCAGTAAGCGTTCAATCCGTGCGGTGAGTGCAGAGGTCACGCGAGCTCTGATTGAGTTACTAACTCTAGGAGATGTGGACTGGTCACGCACTGAGGGTACATAATAAAAGAGTGGTCTGCCAGATTTGGATGGTAAACTTGTTATGAAGTTAAGGTAGAGGTTGAATACTTTTTTATAAGAATCGCGTCTTCAGTTTGAATTAACATGCACCTAGTACAAGTAGTTAAAAAGGCACATATCATCCTAAAAATTTATATACGAAACGTAAAAATAATTAAACTTTACAGAAACACAGGAGTACATATTTTATATTGTCCGTCATATATAAGCAAAAAGAAGTTACAGAAAAATATCTTTGAGAAATCAACAGCACTGCTGATACAGATGTTTTTGTATCCAACGAAATTTTGTCTGAGTCCAAGGAAATTTTACATTGCAACGTTAAAATTTTCCATCCATGAGTAAAAAATGAACTCCTATCTTTAATAACACCACAAAAACACATTATCTTTCCGCTAACAGAAACCGCAAATAAATAAATCATCAATACAAACGCGTACCCATGTGCGTAATAAACTAATAATGATGTTTATCTACGCCATAGCATTACAAACAGAAGTCCCATGGCGCATCGTTTGCGGACATCAAAAGTTTGAAATCCACTGGGAGAGGGGAACTGTGGAGAGTGGATTGAAAAGAGAGAGTTAATTAATAAATCAAAATTATTTTGTACATATACGTATAGTATTGGCTTTAGAGATATTTGTTTAAGTATGACGATGTATTGTTTGGTTGAAGACGAATATGATAGAATATTTTCTGGTAGATAATTGATATATTATCAAGGACATTTAAGAACTTGCATTTGCTACTATAACCCAGTGATATATAGTGAGGTCTACGCCCAGCAATGAACGGTGACAAGGTGATGATATGAATGATAAAATACAGGATTTGGTTATGTAGTAGTAAAATAGTGTAGATACTGCTCCCATAGCACACAAATTGAAGAATGCAGAAACCAAAATCACGAAAAGTGATATTCATTCACTAGATCAAAGCACACAATACAACAAGGAAACTGCAATAACTGCAAACAAAGACTTGCCCCATAAGACCCACTGTTCCATTTAAAAAAAATCACGTCTACATAGGCGCGCCACCTAATCCATTAACAGAGGTAGAAGTATCGATTACGTGGCATCAACCTCCCGGGACCAACCATTAGCGTACACGGCCAGCAGTGGATGGCTATATAAACATTAATACCAACGCTTTTAGGGAGACTCCGGTTTCAAATCTATTGTTAGGGTCTTTGGGAGTATGAATAAAATATATTTTTGCAGTTTTTCGGCAGTGGGTGATATCGTTTGATGCTTTTGAGATGGTTTTTAATTCAGTTCAAATGCATCTGCCCGAACCTGAACAAGTCCTAGTTCAATCGGCAGATCGCTTCCAAACGGCCGAGAGCAATAAATGTCTTGTCGCTGATATTATGATTATGAGTAATACTCTACCTGGATGGATCTATATGACGTCTTTGAGTTTTAAGACTAGTTTAATGGAAAATGTAATTCTTTGGACTTTGAACTTTTTCGATATGAGACTTAGATATCGTACCCCGGGAATGGCCAAAATTGAATTACATTTGAGTTACTTAGTACGTATAACATGCATCACTGTAACTTCGGCAAATAGGTAACAGAGATGACGTTGTATAATATGAAACATAGTGAACATATTCCCCAACTAGCGGAACAACAGTAATAATTAAATTCAGCAAATATTTCGCGTACCCAAGCAATTGGCACAGTTTCAAGTGATTACATAGAGAGCGGCACGTGGCGTCGTAACGAGGGCCGCTAAGTGAGGGTAGTTGTTAAACGTTAATGTTTACATTAAGGGTTTCTACTGTAAACTTAGTATCATTGGAATCTCTAGGGGCGGTGTTTGAGATATAAGTATTTGTGTGTGTGTGTGTACTTTGTTTTTGTTTGGAATATGGTCTTTTAATGGTGAGTTTATTTTGATGTAATATACGTAGTGTGAAACACTATTGAAAATCGAACCAATGCTAATGCTTCGATTTTCGCGCGCAACGACTCTTTGTGTGATATATTTTATTTTTTATTTTAGTTCTGTGTAATAATGTACCGTAAATTCAGTCTAAAGCAGTAGGTATAGAGTATTTTTTCGTCAGCAACCGTCTAACACAGTACTCCCGCCTGCCCAGAGCTAAGGCATTAGATGATTTTACCCCTCTCCTTCCCAAATCTGTGTGCCCACTTTTACGAAAAAATTACAGGAGCACTATTCTATAAAAAAAACATAATATTCATCCTCATCACAACAACTACCTAACACAAAATTAACGTTGCCCATCTCAAAATTGAATTTTCTCTCATTTTCACCACACGCTTCTTTTACCCACCATGACGAGATTGTGACTTTGCTAAAGTGAACCTTAAAAACACATACATTAGTACCACAGAACTCTCAATATTCCCTCCTAGACCTCTAAACTACATCACAAGACAAGGAGCATGGAATATTGACAACGGAGACTGCAGCAGCAGCTCAGCAAACAATTGTAAGTAATGCAACGCAAACAATTTGTTTAACGTGCAGTACCGCGGGGACTGAACACGTGGCATAGCTCCGTGTAGTTATTCTGTGAATAGATACGGTAGAATACAAGATATTGTTTAATATGTATTTTCCTAAATTAGAGACAATGCCAGTATTGCTTAGGCTAAGAAAACAAGGTAAATAGAGACTATCATATCGACGTGCGGGATTTTTGTGTATAGAACAAGAATTTGACCTTCACGGGAGATCTTCGATCTAGTTTGAACAGGACATAATGAAGTATAGAAATCATGGTTTGATTTGACTTTCTAGACTATCGACAAATATTAGCAAAGTTCAAGACAAAATTTGTATTAAAATTTAGAAAAGGCGAGCCTTGCTTTCAGCACTTATGGGCCGATTTGACCGAAGCGGTATCATGGTCTTACAGACAACGGGCATGAAACACCAACAGCATTGTTTGGGAGTATGTGAAGTTACCAGGGGACTAATCCTTTCCCTCCCCCAATTCCTAAATATCCGAAAACCTAATCCCCAAAGGCCGGCAACGCACTCATAACTCCTCCAGTGTGTTGCGTATCAGTTATACCGTTTACTGGTTTGCCCCTGTCCACATATAAAAAAGTACTATAAAAAATAATAGCTAATGAGAAGGTAGAGCAAAGTTATATTCGACTGAGTGTGCTAATTAGAATATTATTTTAGGAACACAACTTGGTCACACAGCTAGTTCTGAACAAAGTAGAACAAAGAGCAGACGCGCAAAAGAAATTGTAACACTGTATTAGGATAATTATCGAATATGGCGGCTGGCGGCTGGCGGCTGCAGCGTCTCGCGTGAGATGTCATCGTAAGTCGTGTGTTGTCACAACGCGTGACCATCGATGTTTATTGAGGCGTAACCGTCACAATGCCGCCACGTGTCTTAGCCAGACGCGATTATCTGGATTAGGGTTATTGATAAAGGATAGTTTTAGCGCAAATGTATTTAATTTGTTCAGCTAATGCTGGTCGAACAGTCGTCAGAGGTTTCATATCAGACTTTTGAGGACCATTTTTGCAATGTATAGTTCTTGTGCGGAGAGTGGAACGGCAATGGGCATGACCCTCTGACTTGTCTGGTGAGTTTTTGTTAGGCACGTGTTGCATCTCTCTGGTTGCTGCGAATGAAGAGTATTTCTAACTTTTAAACTTTCGCGTTTCATATTTACAACATATAGTTACGCAGGCAGTTACGTGGAAAATAATTATTTAAATACCTTGGTAGGCTTGACGTTTCGACCTGGTTGCACAGGTCGTGGTCACAAGCAGACTGAAGACGCGATGTCACAGCTCCCTGCATTCGGGCGATAAATCTTCATCTACATTATTTTCTATTTCTACCATATAAGGCCGTCTACACACTACTAATTATTATCCACGTTAATATCCGCGTAACAATAACTATAGGTTGAAGAGTATTTCAACTCAGATTTAAGGAATATGGGGTCTAACTTAAAATACCAAAAACAAATCATACCGAGGCTTCTTTACAAAATTCAACAATGTGACATTGAAACACAATCTCTAGGAGAATAATAGCAGTAATTAGCAATACAGGACTATCTACACCGATCGCATCGAGTGTCAGTCAGTATTTATTGAGGCGGGGCGCTAACAATGGTGACACGTGACTGTCGGACATTGCGAATCATCGCTACGGCCATTAACGTGTGGGATTAAGTGTTTAAATGTTGAGATAGTCCGAATAATATTTATTTTAATATCATAGGTCGGTAAACGAGCTGACGGATTACCTGATAGTAAGTAATTGGCCGCGCCCATTGACCTCCGCAACAACGGAAGAGTTACGAGTGCGCTGCCGACCTTTTGGGGATTAGGTCTTCGGAGATTTAGGGATTGAGGAGTGTAAGAATGTGGTTGTTTGATTGGTTCACGCTGGTTTTCTGTGTAGCCATGACACCACTTCTTCACTTGTTTCAGTGCACTTAATTTTGATAGAACATTCTAAAGGTCTAAACTATACACTCCTCTCCACTCCCCGTCCTCCTCAGTTCCATCCTCAATTTCGGTAATCCTCAAATCCTTAATCACCGAAAGGTCGGCAATGTAC